GGGGCGCCGCCGCTCCCGGGCCCCCCGATTCCGGAGGGGGGAGAAAACTAAATCGGCGGCGGCGGCGCCAGCCGCGCAGCGGTGGGTTCAATGTCTTCTTGTTTTATGGTTATTTTGTTTAAAGTTTTGATGCGAAAAAAAAAAGATTAAACAAAAAACACTTTGTCCGACCTACTGACCCTAATCTGAAATTTCTTGTTACCGGAAACACAATATCTTTTTTGTTTGGCCTAATCTTGGCATAGACGATTCGATGGTGCGAAGGTGGAGGCTCTGGCAAGAAGAACTGAGCCAGTGTAAAAAGACAACCAAAGCTTTTAAAGATTTTAAAGGTGGGCCGTCGTGGTGTTATCGATTCATGAAATGGAAGCCTGTCTATTAGGGCACGCACGACGTTGTGTCAGCAGCTCCCTCCCAATTATGAGGACACACTTACTTCATTCCGCCCATTCACACAAAGATTTTAAAGGTGGGCCGTCGTGGTGTTATCGATTCATGAAATGGAAGCCTGTCTATTAGGGCACGCACGACGTTGTGTCAGCAGCTCCCTCCCAATTATGAGGACACACTTACTTCATTCCGCACATTCACACAAAGATATCGGAGAATTCCATCAGCCCAGATGAAAGAATAAATCTGGACGAAGACCCTCTGACATTTGATTTGCCTCTCACTCGGACTGTAAATAAAAAAGGTGACTCCCCTGTCATTCTGAAAACAAGCGGCCACGAGAGAACACATTTTACCTGTGTTTTGAGCCGCGCAGCATCGGGCCTAAAGCTGCCAACGATGATCATTTTTAAGCGGCTGACTATCGAAATAATTTCATATATCTTTTCCCATTTGTATGATTTGCATTATTCTATTTAAAGCCTAGTGGGCTTCAGTATTTCTCCTTGTAATTACACAAATGCGCATCGAGATCTCTCTTTGTCTGTCCTCTTATGTGTTTCAGCGTAATTTAGTTGTGCAAATGCATTGATCATGCTCATAGAAATATGGAGATTATTTTTACCTCAAGAAATGTTGCTTTTTTTTCTGCGGGTGTTCAGCGGCGAGATCTCTCTTTGTCTGGCCTCTTATTATATGTTTCAGCGTAATTTCGTTGTGCAAATGCATTTATCATGCTCATAAAAATATGGAGATTAGTTTAACCTTAAGAAATGTTGCGTTTTTTTTCTGCGGGGGTTCAGCGGCGAGATCTCTCTTTGTCTGGCCTCTTATTATGTGTTTCAGCGTAATTTCGTTGTGCAAATGCATTTATCATGCTCAAAAAAATATGGACATTAGTTTAACCTTAAGAAATGTTGCGTTTTTTTTCTGCGGGTCTATATGGATATATATCTATAGTAGATCTATATATATCTATATATATATATATATATCTATATAGATATATATCTATATATTTTTTTTTTCTCTTTTAGGAATGCTGCTCTTGACTGCTGACACGCTTGGTCATGATTTTCACGTCTTCCAGATCCTCACCCACCCATGGGCATCTTCACAGAGTGCTGTTCACCATCTATATACATTACACCGTGGAGAGACTGAAGCAAGGGTCTGAAAATATACCTACTTTTTTTTTCTTTATTCTTGCATCCTTGATAATAACATCATAATCATAATGTGTGCGCTGAAGAAAACTATTGCTTTAAAATGACTGAAACAGGACTTTTAAAATTCACGCAAACAACATAATCAGACTGTTTGATTTAATTAAAAATCTAAATACATGGACAGATTCATGGATTGGAAACAAAATTCCTCCTGCATGTTTGCAATTTTACCAATTGCACACTGAAACTTGCTTACTGTGCATGCCACAGTCTTTATGGCTGTCCAAACAAATATTATTCACAATAAAATAAGAGAAATCAGCGTGAGGGCCATCCTTGCACAAGGAAATACGTGCGTATGACCCAACATCTTAACGTAATTGTTTTGCAGGATATTGATGGAAGAAACCAAATTTCGTGAGCAGCTAAGACGTGCCCTCTCAGCCAAGGCCATGTTGGGGTAGTGGTACATTGGGGGTCCGTTTCAAATAAATGGAAATTATATGACAAAAAACACCAACAATAATTTTTAACACTTTCCCGTACAGTATTTACAAACAGGAATTTCATGGCGAAAAATCAAATATTGCCCTGACAGTAGTAATCCATGAAATAAAACACTTCTGTAACTTCATTATCATCATGCAACATCTTTAAATGAAACACCCAAATTTGAAGACAATCCGCTGAAATTGCCAGGGTGAGTTTGTTAAATTATTACCTTTATAATAGGCCAAAAAAGGGGGCAAAATTTGAAGGCAAACAACAAATGGCGAACTTCCTGTTGTGTCTCGGGTATGGCTTCACTTTCTCGTAGGGCTTTGGCTATTATGACCCCCAATTGTCATGTCCCTTGGTACAGTTGGGGTTGCTTCATGATTATTATTTTTTTTTTACGTGGCGCTACTGATCCATTACGTTAAAATCGCATCGTAAAAATCTAATAGAGTGATCCCTCGCGACCTCGCGATTCACTTATTGCGGATTCAGTGCATCGCATCTTTTTCCAAAGTACTGTATTCAGAAAAAAAAAGGCTGAAAAAAATTGGCTGCACATCTTCGCATCCCCTCCCAGCACCTTGAGTCTCTTCACACTGGTGACTCTCTGGCATACTGTCTCTTCTGTTGTTTCTACGTGCGCGGCGGAGAGAAAGAGCGGAGAGATAGGGGGCGGTTGTGGGCCTGTCCGAAAGCAGCAGCACATCTTTCTTCGCCTCCTTCTCATCAATACCGATTACCGTTATCTTTCGGATTATACGTCGCTCCAGATTATAAATCGCACCAGCCAAAAAATGCATCATTAAGAAGGAAAAAAAAAAACATAAGTCACACTGGAGTATAAGTTGCATTTTTTGGGGAAATTTATTTGATAAAATCCAACACCAAAAACATACATGTCATCTTGAAAGGCAATTTAAAATAAAAATAAAACGAGAGAACAACAGGCTGAATAAGTGTACGATATGCTAACGTGACATGACGCTTAAACAACGAACTGTGAATGTGCCTGGTATGTTCACAAAACATATTAAGAGTTATTTAGACAACTATAGCACAAAGAACATGCTGACAAATTTACCAAACCATCAGCGTCACTCCAAATCATGAAATCCAATGAAATCTTCATGCTCGGTGTCACTTTTAAAAAACTCCGCCAACTCCGGAGGTAGAAGATGCAGCGCTTCCTCTTCTACGTCGCTTACGTCGGAGTCATCGTCAGTTGTTTTTCTCAGTTACCGCCAACGTGGAAAGTATCAACACAGGCTGAGAGCACCCTCTTGCGGTTTAATGTGAAAATAACATGTGATGTGTACAATGTGTTAACCATTTCACACATAAGTCGCTCCAGAGTATAAGTCGCACCTCCGGCCAAACTATGAAAAAAACTGTGACTTATAATTGTCTTATCATTAACACATCGGCTGCGCGGGGATAGCTGGCCAGGAGCGAGCTGGAGGCTAACGGTGGCTACAGTGTCAGAGCGTCAAATGAGGGCCACCCTCTACGCCACCAGCACAAGTCTCTTCGCTTCTCTCAGAAGGCAGTGCTGATGAATGATAATTACTGTATAAGGTTTTATAATTAAAGATTTAAGTAAATACATGTCCTGCTATAGTCCTTGTCTCAAATATGTAAAGTATCAATACTGTTTGCATATTTTAAACATGCTGGTACCCAGAAAACCTAACACAAAAATTCCTATGGAGGCGAGGAGAGGAGGAGGGGGGGGGGGGGCGCAAACCGGACTTTGTGGTTTTTCACTTAGCGTGGCAGGATCTCGGTCACCATTAACCACGATAAGTGAGGGATCACTCTGTGTGTGTGTGTGTGTGTGTGTGTGTGTGTGTGTGTGTGTGTGTGTGTGTGTGTGTGTATATTTAAATACCGCATTTTCTCTATTGGGCGCACCAAAAAGTCTTCAATTTTCTTAAAAGCTCACCGAGCGCCTTAAAATCTGGTGCGTCTTGTGTATGGTCATTACAGTAATACATCGACTCCAAGATGGCTCCTTCCTGGAGACAAGCTTCCAATGTTATACTGTAACTTGCTGTTGGTTCAGTGAACTGTGTCGCTCCACGCAGTCTACACTACTCTAGAGCTCACGAGGATACTCCCACACCAAAAATATGCGATGTCCTGAAACAGCACAAATTTCAGAAATTGTGTGTTTAAGTGTGTTTAATTTTTGACTCACTTTTTATTTTGACAACTAGTGGCCAACTTCGGTACTTTAACACACTTTAAACACACTTTCAGTGACGTCAATGCGCAGCTCTTCTGACTCACACGTTTCCCCCGCCCATGTCCTAATAAGTCACATCAATTAGCACTCACACACTAAACAACAGCAGCCAAGACGGCCCTGCAGTCAGTTATCTATTCAAGTCTCTGAAACAACCACGACCTGATTGACTGCCTGGTAAGCAATTACTTTTGTTTATCTTACCGGACCTAGAAGTTGTTAAATTTAACAGTGCCCACCCAAGGTAATGTCATTCAATGAGACAGTTCGCTAGCTAGCGTGTTAGCATGCTAATTAGCTACCAGTAAAAGTAATGTAGACATGTTGACCTGCAGGGAAGATTCTGGGAAACGTTTATACATCTTCACCCACCGCACAGTCTGTGGAACTTGACTTTGGTGCCAAAAGTTTATTTCAGTGCAGTATTTGTTTTATTCGATTGCAGCTCATTGAGATGAGTTAGTACAGCTAGCCTAATGAAGTGGGGCATTTATAAGATAAGATAAGATAAGAAAACCTTATGCTAAGTCTGCTGCATTTACACTGTTTATTCTTGGGTTGATTAATGTGCACTGTTCCAATTAAGTAAATAAATGAACGTTTGTAATGAATTTATATCAGTGTTTATCTTTGTTGGTACATTTGATCGACAATATTGTGTTACTG